AGGGTCCGGAGAGTGAAGATCCCCTTTGTTTGGTATATGCGGTCTTCTTCTGGTCTTCTTCTGGGCTTCCGAACGTAAGGGGGTATGCCGTATACGCATGTCAGTTTCAGGGAGGGCTAGGTGAACAAACTATTCATGTCTGCTCCATTGTGGTTTGGTGATTCTGATCAACCAACAAGTTGATTTGCGTTGCTCACCCAACCATTGGCGGGGGCCCCATGCGATCCAAACAAAGCGCGCTGGCGCGCATTGGACAAGTGACCTGCTCGCAGGTCCAGATTATGGGAACATCCATCATGAGCCAGACACCAGCTGTCCTGCTTGAGTTTGGGTTTCTTCGAACTTTTACAGTACCCGTAGAGCCGTCAGCAAAGCGCTATTTTTGAACAAGGCCTGCAACTGAACCATCATGGTAATCGGATAGGCCGAAGCTTGAGTATTTACTGATCAGTTGGAGTATTTACTTGGGATGTTATTTTTGTTCCGGTTAAATGTAGGCGTCAATCCCAGATCCCATGGAGTGTTTGGATGAAATCATCCATTTTCATCTTCAGATGCCCGGATCAGGGGTGGCACCAGTCAGTTGGATAGGGCTCAGATGGGCTCAGGCAAGCCTTCAATTTGCAACAATTGTTTAAATGTATTTTTGGCCTGAGATGTTGAGGTATGCCAAACATATGCGGGGGAGGTGTTCTTTCTTCTCACTTGATCCTTTTAGCTTCCGTCACAGAACCTTGCGCCCTCGGCTGGTGAACCCGCAGGTGGGCACGGGCGAAGGCAAGTCGATGATCGTGGCCGTGGGAGGACTCGGTGCAGCGAAGGGCCCTCGGTAGGTGGGAGAGACACGTGAGATTTGTGTATTGAGGTAGTGCCCTTGGATAATCCAGTCTCAAATGGGAAAGGGTTTTAAATGCTGTGGAGGGAGTTTGCCCCCTATAGCATTCAATGGGTCCAAGATTGGAAGAGCTTTGATAGTGGCGTCCTGTTGGTCCCCCAAAAGGAGAAGCTTTCCGTTTGTAAAGAAGATACCGAGAGTAGAACATTGGCAATACCAATTAAATTTGAGGAACGAACAATACCCAAGACTTTGCCCGAGACAGTCACCTAAAGAGTTGTGAACATTTCTCTAACTGACGTGTAACACCATGTTCCAGGACTGCCTTAGGCAGGCAATGGCAGGCATGACTGAGTACCCCGAAATCGATTCTACTCGTTTCACTGTTCGCTTGCGCCTGGTTTCGGATCTCCTTCTCAGCAGCCCCCATCCCCTTTCGGTTTTCTCCGAACGCCTAAGGCCTTGGCCGCCACCGAACTCGCCGGCCGTTCGCCTCCGTTCGCCTAATAAGGCCTTGGCCATTTACGTGGTGGTGGCCTTGAAGAAGAAAGTCCATGTGGCCAGGGTCCCCTGGGGTCGGTCGACACGAGCGAGCTCCGGTCGCTCCAAGTCGCTTGGGGGGTCGCAGAGTGGAGAGTGGAAAAGCACCGGTGTTGTAGAGGAGTCCATGTAAGGGGAGATATATCCCTATAGGGCTCCTGGCCCACCTTGTGAGAAATCTGAGAAGGGTGGTTGGGGTAGGTGCCAGGGGGGTCGAATTCCAGCGAAGCTGAGGATATAGTTGGAGCCCGAACGGGTAATTATATGATACATTTTACACTGCCACGATGAATTCAATTCGGGGAGTGTACACCTTAAGGTCTTCCATTCCCTGGACGGATGGACCCGCTAGTAGCGCAGGACTCGGAACGTGTGTCTGCGTGACTTGTACCACAGAAGTGCTCCGTTGGATCGGACAAAGTACAAGATACCTACAGTAATTAAGGTGTTTGGATTTGGGGGAAGATGAAGGAAGCATTTCTTCGACAAGAACTGTTCTCCTGGCAGTCATTCTGCCAAAACAGATTGAACAATTAGAAGGCTGATCCCGGATGGACTCGACCCAATGAAAATCAATTATACCCCCAGGGGTCACAAAGGGGTGGTGTTTGGTCGCTAAGTGAGTGGATGTTCTGGGCACCCCTAACCTCCGCACCCCGTCTTGTGACTCCTGGTCAATGGCAAAAAAAATACAGTTTATATCCTCTTCTCGCAGCGGTCGGCCCGTTACGTTGGATCCGTATCAGGAAGTCGGCCGTGTTCCCTAAGGTGGTGGACGATGAGACCCTCCTAGACCGAGACTTCGTGCCTTGGACCGAGACCGCGGCCACGGCTGCGGTTCCGAGTAAAGCACCGGTGGAGGCACCGGCGTGGCCCATGGGTCGTGGTTTTACTCCCTGGAATCATCATGGGTCGGCGGAGTGAGAACCACCGGTTTTGGTCATTTGGATTTTCATGGTCATCCATCGAAGGTCACCAGGTGTCGCATTCCAGGGTTCGCAATGCCACGGAGTCACTCCATGCTGCTCTTCCCAAGCCTGCATTCTGAAGTGCATCACCAGAACACACCCAGGCAGCCTTCCGGAAGCTCTTTGAGTCGTTCAACGTCTTGGAAGACGGCAAAAGGCACAACGATGCGGGTGAAGTTGGATGAATACACTGAAGGAGTGAGGTTGCCCTACTCAAAATACTCTCCAGTTTCCCTCATAAGGCCCTTCCTGGAGACTCGTGGGACATCTTGGAACAAAGCCTGCATGCAGCCTGCAGGCTGGAACCACTTGGGACAAACTTCAGAAAGCTATCAGATGCCATCAGGCATCATCAGACTGAATGGCGGACACCGTCAGATTCTAGAATCTTCTCCTATAGTTTGCCTAACTTCTTCGGTATCCTTCGACGTTCTTTTGGATTGTCCCCACGTGGTGCACCATGAGCTGGCAGATGTGGCTTGGTGTTCACCAGACACATCCGGAGACACGTTTTCCTCTCTCCTCTGGGCAGGATCCCATGCATGGGATCTGGGCAGGATCCCATGGGATCTGCAAACACAATAGCTATAATCCCTCAAGCATGTAGGTATATAATGGGATCTAGTTTGAAATGCAAGCTAGTAACTATAAAGTGCAAACACAACTAGTGCATACTAGTGCATTCCTGCCATTTCATGGTATCAATTCTTCGCCCTGTCGAGAAACATGAGAAACAACGCACCAAAACCACCCAATGGTGCCTCACCCAACGCTGCTCACTCCCTGATTCTGCAACATTGACGTTTACGACTTTTACCAGTTTACCTCCTGAGTCCGGCGTTCCAATCCTTTCATCATCTCACGAAAGTCGTATATCTCACGATCTCACGGGCACCGATCCATCAAAAAGCGTCCACTATTTATATATAAAAAAAGCAGACTCAGAATCTTCCTGAAAACACCTCCAGTCCTGGACCTTCCAACTACCAAAAGTGTCTTTTTGGTTTTCTGGTCGTTTTGGGTGGTTGGAAGAATCCAGGGTAATAGTGATGTTAATTCCTTTCATTCTCCGATTCTAGCAGACGTGGCTTCTACTTCGCCCAGATGCGCGCCCCGTTGTTCGTCCCCAGGCGCCCCTTGCGGGCGATGCTGTGTGTCTCAGAGGACCCGGTGACAGCAGACTGGTGCCGTACGGGTCAATGAAGGCATGCGCCACATGGATGCTTCAACTTGACCATATCTTGTGTAGTCTTTGGCTAGTTTGGTGTGGGTTCTTTTTCTTTGGCTATAGTTTTGGTGCACTCCTGGTTGGACCATTGGACCACTTTCGAAATACCTCCCCAAATCATCGACGTCATACAAATCAAGGCAGAACAGACAAGGGCATGGCGCATTCCTTCCACCATTCTGTTTGGGTGTGGCTTGAGATCCCCTTTTTAAACTCTCTTTTTGAAAGTCATGCTGATGCGTATTCACTGTATTCACTGTATGCTGGATCCGCAGACTCGTTTCTCCGGGCGTGGCCTGGCGCAGGAACGCCTGGCTGCCGCCAAAGGCTCGCCAGGTCACTGTCTCAGAGGGTCCTTTTTCGGAGGAATCGCCTCCTGGGGAGCGCTGCTGGGTGGTTCTGTGGGCCAATTCCTTTGCACATTTGATGATTGATGTGCTGAACATGCCATGGTTACCATGGGCTGCCCAGGCATGAAAAATCCTACCTTCCACTCCATAGGACCTGGGAAGATTCACGCAAGAAGCTACTAGGGTGGAGGCCATTACCACTAGTAGCAAGCCAGCGGCTGCTGGTAACACATTGGGCTTGTTTCAGGTTCTGACCGGGACCGAAGGTATATAGTATACGTGGACTGTTAGTGGGGCTTGGTTTCAAGGTCAGAACCGTCACGCGGACGGTAGACGTGTTCACGGCATCAGACGTGGAACACCGCCTTGAATTCCACGGCAAGTGTAGCAAGCCACCTTGTAGCGGTCATGTTCTTCATCCAGGGAAGCGAGGTTCAACTCCAATGGGTCAATGGAGCATGGCCAAGGCTCATTGGCCAAGCTGCTTTCGGCACATCCATGGTTGGTGAATTGGAATTGCAAGAGTCAGACCAGGACCGTGAAGTCATTTCGGTCTCATGGAACAAAACAACATGCGGTCTACATTCGCAAAGAGGTTCCAGCAAGTCAACCAATGTCATTGGCCGGAGCAGTGAGCTAAGTGAGCTTTTGATATGCAAGAGGTGTGTTGGGCCTAGTGTGCCCCAGTCAACCTGTAACATTCGACAAAAGATTATCGGCCTGCAACTGAATCCCAGGGCACGGGATTACACCCAAGTAATATCCCGAAATGCTTGGTAAGAACCATGGTACACATGTTCTGCATCAGGTGATGCAGTGGCCTGAAAAGGGATCTGGCATCCAGTGGGCTGTGTTGGTGCTGTTCGGTACACTTGGTCAATCGTGGTCACCTCGGCAGACTCCACCGAGCCCATTGTTTGCCCACGTGGTTCCTCCGAGCCCATTGGTTGGGGTGAATCCTGTTGAATCACTCGGCGCACCAGGACTCAAACAAGCGTAGGTTGCACCAGGACCTTTCAGAAGACAGCCGACCTCTTCTCCCTTCCTGGAAGCCATCCTCTTTGCGCCGCGGGCGTGGGCTCAAGAACCTTCGTTGTTTCACGCCCTTAAGGGGCAGGAAGTTGAAGGTGAGACCCTGGAGGGTCATGGGATGCGCGAGACGGGTCGCCAACGCTCCAAAAAAACCTGCCAACGCCCATCTCCAGATGTTCTTCCTCGATGTTCTGAGGTGATCAAATGATATCAGACGCATCAGATTAGGCCGGATAGGCCAGATAGGCCAGGGCACGAGTTTTCCTCCGCAGCCGTTCTCAAACCAAGGTCTTGCCAGCCGTTCGTTGCTGTTCGACCGGAGCCACGTGACACGAGAGCACGAACGAAATGACTCGAGTCCATCGAGATTGGTGGAGCAATCCTAAAGAGTTCAGGCAGCTGCATTCATGAGACGACCATAGCTCGATGAACCACTCGTTTTTGGGGCTGTGATCCACCAGAAAAGAAGCATTGCGGTATTTGAGCTCCTGAATTTACAGTTCTTGACAAGCCAAACTTCAATTTGCAATTCGATTGCTTTCCACGCAGATGGCTTAATGGACTTCTTGTGAATATCAACCAGAACCTTCAAAGTGACCTTTTGAGATCCCAATGAGGTCACTTACTTAGTCCCTGAAGAGGTCACTTACAGACTCCAAAGATCACGTACTTCTTTTGGGACCGACTTGGAGGCTTGGCGGAGTCAGCACGAGGCGTGGCACCGCCGGGATACTGAGGTGCAATGGCGATGATGAGACGAGCAGATACAGTCTTTGCCCTGGATGCATTTGAGGTGCCGTGCTCGGGCAAGCAACCAGAGAGTCAAACATAATATAGATGTGTAGATGTGTAGGGGTGCCATGACGGGGGTAAGATGCTTCAGAATCAGATCTCTGCACTTCGGACGCGATTCGGCGATGGCGCGATTGGCACCGGAGGGGACTGGTTTGAAGTATGTGGATTCGACCCAGGTGATCATATCCTTTTTCGGCGTTTCGTGTCAGCCTAGGACTTCAAGACCCCCTTCGCCCGGTACATCATTGGAACCCGGACCCGAGATTTCTCCGACGCCGCAGGGGCCCGGAGAAATCGCGAGCGACACGAAAACGATCTTCGGGGTCTCAGATGACTTATATAGATCGAAAACGACTAGGTGACTAGGCCATCCCAAGTCAAGGTCTCAAGTTTGTTTCCTTTACTTTCCCTAAAACTAACATGGAAGTGGAAAACCACCTGTTTGCTTGATTTCATGATCTTCCTTACATGGCCATGCCATCCACGTATCCAGGGAGTGTAGTTTGAAAAACCCTGAAACACCCCTTTAGACCAGGGATCACCCACTGGACCCTGACGGAGCTTCCACCCGACGGAGCAGCACCTGACAACACCGGAAGCGAAGCACCGCGTCGCGAAGCACCGCAGGAAGCGGAGTCCAGTTCCTCTGAAGAGGGCAATCCGATGCAAACGGGCGATCCGTTAATCCAGCAACGGGTGGTCCAAAGGGCAGCACGGCAGCAGTGGTCCAACGGTGGTGTTTTTATATAAGTGTTTTTTGCTATTTTTTTCTCCGGGAGGGTTCGGAAGAGCCAAATATGAGCCAGACATTGGGGAAGAGCCACTCTATGTGCAGTTGCATGCGGGAATCCGTCCCGGCTCATTGGCTCTTAACCCATTTAGTGTCGGGAGGGGACATCTTTCTGGCTGCTTGGATTTGCCGAACTCAATCGACTTTGCTGCCGACTTCTTCGATTCATTCTCCAATCACCGATGGATCGTCTTTGCTTCCGCGTTTGACAAGACGGACGCCCGGACTTTGCGACTCACATGTTGGGCTCAACCGACTCACATGTGTACCACCAAAACATGTGCACCGAAACCTAGATGAGCGGGTCCTTTTGGCGGGAAACAGCATCAAGATGATTCAACGGGAATCATATTGGCTTGGGGTCACTACAATCGGCACCTTGTTCACACTTGTGCACACAATCGGCACCGAAATCACCGTCATTTCGCGGAGGATCTGCAGTGGGGCATGTGCAGTACCATTGACCCGCTATTTTCATCAGATGAGTGTCTGATAAAACTTCCGTACGTGTACTTTTACTTTGGTCATAAGCTGCCTCAAGCATTCAATTAACTCATATAATATGCTGTTAAATTCATAGTCTATCGCTTAATGTTATCTACTATTGGTATCTATATTGAGATGATGCTTGAGCCGGTGTGTGCACCACAACGTTTCCCATGGCACGATGCTGCCACATTAGGTGCCACCATGGTTGGATTGCTCGGGTTGCTTTGCTCTTGTTTGGGATGTCGCCACAATAGCCACACCTTTTTGCGGCTTTTTCTCTAAATTTCTGGACATGCTTCGGAGAACTCCAGAGGATTCCTGGTTGTTCTATGTACCTTGGGGGTGTCCCACAACCTGTAACAGTCGGTCAACAATCATAATCGACTCTTACAGGGAATGGGAATATCTCATAGTATATCTGATATATTTAAGAGCTGACGCCTAAGAGCGGGCAGGTGCAGGCCTTGTAGGGTGCAGGCGGCATAAGCAGGGCTCGGTGGGGGTCCGAGAGAACAACCATATTGGAGCCATGTTCGGGCTATATGTTTGCCCATCTTGGAGCCATGTTGGGAGCTATGTTGACCCATCTTGGGGGTATGTTGTGGCTATATTGATCCATCTTGGGGCCATGTTGGGGCTATGTTGGCCCATCTTGGGGCTATGCTGTGGCTATGTTGATCCATTTTGGAGCCATGTTGGGGCTATTCTGACCCATCTTGATTCTGACCCATCTTGGAGCTATGTTGTGGCTATGTTGATCCTTGGGGGTTGTTTTAGACATGCATCCCGAGTGGCCGGCGAGGTGCCAGTCCCGCGTATAGAGCGTCCCCGCGCTGGGTTGGCGGCTGTGGGTCCACCCCCACCCACCTCCCGTCGAGGGGAGCTGTCCAGCCCGATTTATACTATCAGCCACTCGGGCGTCTTTGGGAGATGAACCTTGCAGCCACCAACACCAAAGCCCGGACGGCGGACGGAAAAAACAACACAAACATAAACAGGCCAAAGTTTGTTTGCAATGACAGCATGCGTATTGGCATTGCCATGCAATGCAAGTTCGTCTTCACCCAGGGCATGGGCGTCTTGAAGACAAAGCTGGAGCCGGAACTCTGGACACGCCGCTTCGCTTTTCGTGCCTTGGTGGGCATATGAAAGCTCGGTCGTTCCTGAACGAACCAGTGCATGGACAAGGCTGAAACCCCAAAAAAACCCTCAAACCTGGAACATGCTATCCAAGCAAGCTCAAGCAATGCCTTGGGGCTTGCCAAGTCAGAAAAGACAGAAGTGTTGAATACATATAACATTTTAAGGTGCACCCATTTGCCCGAAACCATTCACTCAATTATGGTGTGTTTTGTGTTTTTGTACTGATGCAGTGTGTTGCCTTCTAAGCTGAAATTCAGCCACAGCCACTGAGGTGCCTATCTCATGATCATTAGTTTGGTAAACGTGCAGGACTGCTGGGGACTGGGGGCCAAACACACATACCCGCACTACAACGGCGGCACTTGGAACACCTTTGTCATTTGGATTATCGTGCTAAGTCTCGTGACAAGGAAAAAGGTGCATACAAAGAGTGACTCGTCTCCGCGATATGTTCACCAAGCAATGTATGGTGTTTTTCACGTGTGCCAGGACAATCCTGTTTGGGTCTGTTTTCTGTTGTGGGAAGTGGCCACCCAAACGGTCCGCTTTCACCGGTTTGTTCCCCACCTTCCTTTCGAAGGGGTGCTTGCCAAAACGGTGCCGAGGCTTTATGGAACTTCGTGTTTTTGGCGTCATAATATTACCGGCTGCACAGAGAAACCTCGTCGTGGCACAGCACACTCCATCCTTCGAAGCACTGTAGCGACCCATTGCCTTAGCATATCATGTTTCAGGTGATTTGGCATTTCAGCCTTCACTACCTTGGCCTAAACAGGGGCCCAATGAAGGCCTGAAATCAGGGGTCAGAAAACCACCCACCTTGGTGGCCCTTGCACCCGTTCTCGGTTTGTTCAGTTCAAGTCAGGCAGATTATGTGCACGACCTTAATTCAGAACATCTTGGGTTCGAACTCCTCAAATGTGAGGACCAAACAGACGTTCTCATCAATGAACCAGTTCTCGTGTTGGAATGAATGGGGGAGAATTGAATTCCTCGCTGTGGATGCTCCTTAGTGTGGGGTAAAATGGTAGAACGGTAAACGAGATCAGTACATATCAGCTGGCCAAGGATTGCTGCGTAGCAACATGTGGCAACTATTCAGAATGCATTGGTTTTCCTACTCTTCTTATGTGAAACAGTTGCTATCAGAGGGCGAAGAACCACACCAAACAAGAGGTAGCCCAGCTCGGGAGGTCATGGCGCTGCGTGCGGACTTTGGATGTTCAAGCCTCAGAGTCATCATACGAGCACGGCTGCTGCGAGAGAGAGAGAGAGAACAGCCACGTTGAGTGACTTCCATTTTGGTAGAGTCAGTGGTTGCCGCGGATTTTTCAGCCCTCAGTCATCTTCAGTCATGTTCATCATCCCAGACTGCTCAGTGGGACACCATGTCAGTGGGAGCATGTGGGTTCCCACCATAGGCGGACAGAAGGCCTAGTAGAGGCTCAGCGGGTTGATGCACAGAGGGGCACCTTCATTACGTGATGTAACCCTAGGGCACCAGGCCTACCTCCGTTTCGGTCGTTGGGGTAGGTGCCAGGGGAGTTTAAGCACCGAACCTGAGGATATGGTTGGAGCCCCAACGGGTTGCCGGGAGCGAACGGGTCGCCAAAACGTGTTCCCCAGGGAGCAAGCACATCTTCCCCAACCCCTGGAAGCCAGTGATTGACATTAATTGATGATCTAATATGGATGTTAGAATCTGGTCTGGCCATGGGGTAGTTTTGGATTCCGTCGTCTTGGCGACGTGTTTTCTGGGATCTGTCCGGATACCGGTGCCAGGTCACACGAGGCATTGCCCCGATGGCTTCGTGTACACCTGGGAGGCCGATGTCCGGCGTCGTCCGGCGTCGTCGAACAGAGCAACCGACCCAAATGGAGGGCCTGGCCACCCCCTGAATGAAAGATGGAAGTGGATGGTCGTTTTTCCATGGCCCCGAAAGGAATAGCGAAAAACAGGTGGTGAAACTCCACTTCCGTGTTTCAGGACTTTGAGCGTGGGCGTTTAGTTGTTTTGAATCAATGAGGCCGGAAGTGCAGAAGAGGACCTGAAGAACCAAGCATCCAGGGCTCCAACTATATCCTCAGAAGGTGCCCCCGTGGCACCTACCCCAACCACCTTCTCCGGAGGTTGGAGCCCTAGGGCATGGTTCGACTCACTCGCCAGTTCGTCACGCATGGACAGCACCTGCACAGCTGTGTTCGACCTGCGCCTCCAACGTGGAAGGAGAGACACTTAACGAGTTGAGAGTCGCTCTTCCCCCAGGTCGAAGAGGCTTTACTGGCCAATGTTGTGGGGGTTATTGATCAAGAGTCTTGCATTACAGGAAGAAGCTGATCTTCAGTACATGGAGCGTGTTGGATATATGTTTTCTTCATGTGAGACACCCACCCACTCTCCGACCCCTTGTTGCAGGTCTTAGAGAACGTCATCACGGCTTCTTGGTCTGAAAGGTCAGCTGTTCTTTGCGAGCTTAACGCGGCCCGCGATTTCTCAGTCAGCCCGCCGGCCAGGGCCGGCGAGCCAAAACTGAGCCCGTAGCCGGCCGGCTGGCCAGAGAAATCGCAGACGGCCCGCGCTGTCGGAAGATGCCGGGGGGGGCACGAGTCGTGTGAGACCCGGTACTACTATACCTGGAAATAGTTACTAAGTACCAACTTTACAGGGCCATACAGAGCCCATGTTCCAGGGTACTTTGGAGGGCCCAGGTGCATATAACGATTAATGACACGCATATTTATAAATAGGTACATTTCTTTGTATATCCTGTGGTGGACCTGCAGAGATTTGAAGACATTGACTTGTTTATTTGTGTGGCGGTGCCTCTTTGCCCGGCCCGGAAGGAAGAGACGTCCTGACCGAGAATCCCCCCACTCGACCGCGTGGAAGAGACGTCCCGAGGTCTTCTTCGTGGTCGACTTGATTATGAGGATCGCTGAGGCGCGGCCCAAGCGCTTCTTCAAGGGCGACGAGACCAAGGCACCGACCATCGATGGCGCTGGGTTTTTGGTCGTGAGGTGTGCTTTGGGTGGTTTGGGACTGACTGACTGTCCTGACCGGAGTGGCAGAAATGATTTGAGTCGATTGTGCGTTTGAATGTGAAACATCCAGTGTTGATGAAAGATAATGAACGCATTTATGACAAACCGGTAGATCGATGCAGATATTTTGCTTGTGGGTTGGATGGCGCCAACCATGCCAAATTCTCCTTACTAGCACATCTAGTATAATTTTGTTGGATTTGCTCGTTGGAGGAAACCCTTTCGCCGATGACGCAGGATGAGTACCGCATTGATGTCATGAATATCTTTGACTTCGTGGCCCTCTTAGCATCGACCTCGCTCAATCTTGCATGGAGTCTCACACCTTTAATTGGATCCCAGTGCTTGTAGTTCTAACTGGTCCATATCATGTGTTCCCTCCAATGATAATTTCCCTCTATTACGTTATCTATCTTCCTTGAGCTGTGGTGCAACAGCACCACTCTGGCGTGAGACTTCAGGGACAGCTATAGCCGGAAAAAGAACTGAGCTGATGTTTTCCTATAGGTGCATGACATCTTTGCTCTTCAGCGATGATCTATCAAGTGTTCCAAGTGTTCCACATGGTTGTCACCCTCACCGACTTGGCATGCCACAAGTCAACGGAAGCGGCCACACCTTTCCGCCGCTCCAAACCGCTGAGGTCATCACCGTGATGCGATGTCTCGACTTGTGGTTCTTGTCCCCGCTGGGACGCACCGATAGCGGCCTGAAGTTTGCCAGCGTCTTCAGGAGAGTCCCCGACTCCGGCGTGTGTCACAGGTCGGTATTCGCCGGTTCGCGAACCGGTGTGGCTAGCAGTGGCTAGCAGTGGCACCCAGAGATCTACAATGGATTCAGAGGACCAATGGCAGGTCTGGGCCCCCAAGTTAGGTGGTCTATATGCATTTTCATCTAAAAGATATCTTGGGGTTGTGCCATCTACTCTGTATCCATTGTAGATCTCTGCAAAATTGTATATGTACACTTTACCCGAAAATCTTTGCAAAAAAAACTGGTTATGGGAGTTTGCCAAACAGTTTGGAGAGATTCGATGAATCCAATATGACATAATATTCAGTCATTAGTGACGCTTCTTACGACATGGGGTGTCTTTGGGGGGTTCGAAACTGGAATTGCCGAAATGGGTGAACGTAGTGACCTGTCAACTGACTGATGCGGACATTTTCTCACACATGTATAAGTTTGGGAAGCCATTTTAGCCTCAAGTATTTTTCATAAGAAGGCCACTTGCATGATGTGTATCAGTGTATCACACATCAATTTCCGCACGTATCCTTCTTGCAACGTTTGGCGTACGGCCTATGAGACAAGCCTGAGCAACAACATAGGGACATGGTAAACCCTTAGTGCAAAAGTCGACCGCCATCAGTCCTATTTTAGTGTGGTTGAATCTATTTTATAACCACTAGTCCCATGTCCTTTCCAAACAGATTTTGCAAGCAAACCTTGGAACTAGTCCAGGTGCTGGAAGCTAGTTGCCGACCTAGCAGTGTTCGAACTCACAGGCATGGTGTGGGGTGACCTCGAGTCGACAGAAAAACGGCAATGTAGCGAAGCAGAGAAGGCCGCCAGTGGATGGGAGGCGATCTTACAAGAAAGAAAGCGAGCCAGATCCTGTGAACCAGGAGCCTTCTGGGGATCCTTGGATGAACCCAGTTCTGCATGTTCTGACACTGCCATTGACTTTCATCTCACCGATGGCCTCTTAAAGGTGCAAGGTGGGCGCCACTTAGCCTCGCGCCTGCCGCTGCTGCCCACGATGCTGGACGACACTCGCTCCCTTGATCTTCGACGCCATGCGGTGAGCCGCTCCGCGCTACAGGCCGTGGTGCAATTTGCCTTGGCGGGACCCGGTGCCAAGGCGTCCTCTCCTCAGTGGTGGACTCCCTGCGGCCGGCGGCCCATGTCCAAGGCGTCGTTTCCGGAGGCGGAGCAGGTGGAAGAGGCTCTTCATTGTTTGGAGGTTTTACGGGCTGCCAGGATACTTGGAGTGCCTCGGCTACAAGAAGAAGCAGAGGAGCGTTTGTTGGGCCCTTCTACAGGGCGCAAAGCGTCTCTAATTGGTGAAGCTACGGCCATGCCGTTGTTGGCCAGCAGCTTTGGACGGGAAAAGGCCATTTCGCAGCGGTGCATGCAAACGCTCCTCGAGCGGAAGAACTTTTGGCAAGGCCGTGAACGGCAGCTTGGAGTCATTTATGCCACCCAGCCTGTGGTCGGTTGCTTAATCTCTGGGCTCTTCAAAGCTGTTGCCAGACCTTTGCAATGCTCGGAAAGGATTGAAATGACAGAGGTACTGAAGGATTTGCTCTTTGGGCCAGCAAAGAATTTGCCTGAGAGTAGTCCGGACTTCATGGGTCTCTTGCAGGCACACTGATGCAAGGCTTCTGCAGATTGTCTCCACTTGGCTCTTCTGTTTATTGCCTGGCTCTTTTTGTCTTGAAGGCTAGCAAGCTGTGAAAACTATGCGCTTGCCTGCAGCTGGCAGAAAAAGGATGACCACAGTATCAATGAATATCAATGATCTCACACTACTGCAAGGGCGCAGTGGGCACCTCTGATCCAACTGATTAAAATTGCACCAAAATGAACTTGGGGTCCTAGCTGGGGCCTGCCATAAACTTGCAGGAGCTCTTTGCTTCAGCTCTCGCCAAGTTGTTCATAACATTTCATGACTAAATTAAGGCGTGAATACTCCAAGAGAGGTTAAGAGACCTTATAGGACCCGTCACCTGCGGTCCCTCAAGGATGGTCGAACTAGGGTTCAACCTCTGCTTGTGGAATTGACTGTCGCAGTCGGACGTCGGGACGTAGCGGGGCTTAGCCCCGGGGTGTCCATCAACCACCCCGACGGTGATGGGTCCAGACTCTTGGACTCGCCACGTCAGACACGTCGGGGGTTTGAAGATCCCAACGTTCGTGAGTCGTTGAGTCGCGTTCGTGCTTAGTGGATTGAATGTTTGGCATATCATTATCATCATTTGGATTGACGAATCACACTTGCCAAGACTCTAAAAGTCATGTTCACCTCTTTTTCTCCGAGCCTTGAACCCTTGCTGGCTCCCTATATATCGTCCAACTCACACAGAACCCAGGGCCGACCAGGGGCTCCACGAACCAGGATTGTGCACATTAGTCTCTTCATCAGCGAGATTCAGCTCTGGAAAGGTTTCCGGGAGCCCCTTGGACATCGGTGAAGTGGGTCGCGGATCTCGCGGTCAGGGCAGGGGGGGAGATGGGGGGCCAGGGGGCGGTGCCCTGGGGTTTGGTTGGGGCGGTGCCTTGGGCGATGTGTGGGTTCCATGACACGTTTGACACGTTTGGTTCTTCTTTTTCCACACGCATTCTTTTGGAAGAACCCCCTATTCCACCAGACTTGGATGCCACATTTCTCCATCGGATCGGCTTTTGTTACATGGGGCCACCATGACCTGTGGAGGACCCTACCAAGGTGGGGCCCATTTTGAACCAGTTGCGTTTGTTGGACATTCCCGTTTTCTTTAAACCAAATTTGGGATTGGCCTCTCCCACCATGCTCGCAAGCCTCATGATATTTGATCGTAGGTCACCGGTTGGGTATTCTCATCGAGCAACAGCTGTGCTTGGCAAAAGCTTCCACTCAGAGACTTTTTGAGAATAGCTTTGGGAGTCCCTCCTTGCTACAGGTATATAAATATTACACACACATACAAGCACAATGTTCTATGTTTCGCTTGAGTATGAGTGATGGTCCCCAAACCCCAAAGTGTTTGCTGCGTCCTTTCCCAAGACACTCTCGCTTGCACAACATGACACAAGGGTCCTTTTTGATCCTTTTTGCAAGTACTGCTAAGATGTAGCCTCGATGAATTGCATTCCAATGGCCCTCACCAGCTGTAGCCTTCGTGGCAAATCGCAGATTGCACCAGCCATTGCACCCACTCCCCGTCTCGATCGAGCATGGTTTGTTGTAGTAGTAGTAGTAGTTGTTGTTGTTGTTGTTGTTCCTCTCCGCCTTCCCAGAGGAACACGATCGGCCACGAAGGCTTTGGATCGTGATCTCCTTGCTACGGGAGACCTTGCTGACACTCTTGTTGCGCCCTTAGGATGACACAGACAGATGCGTCGGATGCGGCGGGTGGAACGACATCCTTTGACCGAACCTTCCGAGAGAAATAGCACAGACACACAGTTGTCACAGTAGCAGCCTCTATCCATGTGAAAACTTCCTTCTTTGACAAGGCACGGTCGATTGGAAGGACGGCCAGATGCCTCCTATCATCATTTAGAGCGAATTTAGTGGTATAGTGTTGTCAAAACTCTCACAAGAACCTCCCTTGAAGCTCACCAGCAGTTCCAATGTTCGCTTCCCAACCCCCCAGCCTCGCATATATCTACGCCTACCCAATCGGCCACACCCAACTCACACTGAGTTGGGTTGGCTTCCTCATCGCTGGCACCACCTGGGTGTGCTCCGTGCTGATCACCATCTCCATTTTGACGGATCCCTCACTGGACCGCGGATGCGGGACGGATGTGGAGGTGCTTTTCTTGTTTTTTTTTTTGCAGCGTTTTGTGTTTTTATGCGTTCATGTTTGGAGGTGAAAAACGGAGTAACGGTGTGGAAGTCCATGTGGCAGACGTTACAATTGAAGTTGCCGACTGGTTGGGGTAGAGCCAGGGCGCAGGCCAGTACTAAGTGTGGCCTGTGAAGCGAGGAGAGCGGCATGAGATTGTGAACAAACCTAAGTTAACCTAAGTTATGAATGACTCGCATGCAAATTCTTGGCCGTCCAAGCATGCACTTGTTTGCCACATGAGAGTGGAGTGCTACTCGAACACGTTGGAAGAGTTGTCAAAGCATGGTGACTGAGAACTGAGAACGCATGGACAACGTTGAGCTGGCTGAGAAAGGTACAGCTCATATCCAGGGTTCTTTATGTTCTTTGCCGAGGTATTCCTGACCCTAGCTTGGAGAGAAAGAATAAATTTAACACATCGACTCATGCCTTCCTTCCTCAGCATGTCCGATTCTCCCTCGCTTCTTCGGAGTCAGGCCCCTCCCCTCCCTAGAAACGAGAAGAGGAGACCACTTTGGGGAGGCGCACACGCATGGTTCGAAGTCATCCCATGGTGCGAAGTCGAGACCGATGGGATGGATCACCCGCCTCGGGCGGATGGAACTGGCGGCTGATGCCACTCAAGACCTGAACTGGGACGACTGGGAACCAGACAGCCCACCGGGACACAGCCCACCTGACCAAGGCCTTTTTGTGTTGAACGAACCTTTTGACTCAGTGTAGACTCTTGATGAATACACCACGCCAAGTTTGAATCGAACAATCCCCCTGAATAGAGGGGGTGATTATTTCATCCAGAGTCTACTACTTCGGTGTGTGATCTTTCGTGGTTTCATTCGATCGCCTTTGCTTCGAACGAACGAAGCTTAAGCAACGTTCGCCTTTCGCCTCGGGAGAGCGCGGATGGCGGATGGCGAACTGCCAATCCCAGACACGACACATGGGACTGCCATATATGCCGCCCCATTGACTGCCTGGCACCACCCCAATGTAGGCATATATAATATTCCTCCGACACTTGGGATGCGATGCCCAGTTTTCCAAATATACAATTTCCAAATCAGTTGCAGGACTTTTTCTTCTACTTAACCTCTACATAACCTTTCCTTCCACGCTCCCGGGCCATCCGTTGTCCACTGTAGTTGTTCTGTCTTTTTGCTATGTTTCTTCTATATAGTCGGTTGGAGGCCATCGCTAGTAGGTTGGAGGCTATTACTACTAGTAACAAGAAGCTAACAAGGCGTCTTTGTTCCTTTCCTTCCTCCTGATCGTCGAACATTGGGGCACGATGGCAGGCGAGCACCAGCAATCTGTCTCCACCACGTGCACAGCCAGCTCACAGCACCGGCGCCCGGCACCCAGCACCAACACCGGCACCCGGCACCAGCACCGCCAGCTCACAGCACCGGCACCCGGCACCAGCACCAGCACCAGCAACCTCTTCTTACCATGTGCACAGCCAGGTCACTGCACGCACCGGCACCCAGCACCCGGCACCAGCAACCTGTCTCGAAGCCCGTAAGTGTCATTGGCCCAAGGCCAAGCAGTATCCAGCGCCACTATTGACTTTGTAGGATGCTTGAAGCAACGATCTGCAGAACAATAAGGCCGTATGACCTTGCGCGTACAAGTTTACGCGCACATTATGCGCACAAGCGGCAAAGCCCGTAGGCTTCACTCGCCCAAGGCCAAGCAGTGTCCAGCACGACTATTGTGTGTGTAGCATGCTGAAACATGCTGAAACAATGGTCGGTTGAGAGCCTGACGTTGCGCATAGAACGTAACATTATACGTAGAAAAGTATGCGCGCAAACAGTACAGCCCTTGACACTGTCGGCCAAAACAGAACCTGAAGAGTGTAAATACCCCACAGCGCTAATAGACAAAGAACACTCAAGCGACAACACCGTATGATGTTCCGTGCATAAGTTCATGCAGCCCATGACTGCTGGCACTTCATTGTCAGAAGCGGCGCTTGGTCGCCCTTCACTGCTGCAAGCGGCGGTTTGTTACCCTTCACTGTCAGAAGCGGCTTAGTCAATACATGTAAATGGCCCGTATCCGAACTCCTAGAGGATCGGTTCCTTATGGGGTGGCTTCCGGCTCTTGGATCAGCTTATGAGGGGTGAGTGGTGAACAAAGATGTGAACATCCAGCTTCTGTGTAAGTGGTGGTGGATGGAACAAGCAGATGACACCATAGTAGAATACCTGGCACACCTGTTAGATTCTGATGGAAGAACCTGGCATACCTGTTGGATTCTGATGGAAGAAGCAGATGAAACCATAGTAGAATACCTGGCATACCTGTTGGATTCTTGTTGCAAAGTGCATGAACAAACATAAACAAAACATGCAACTACCGTCCATGGCCCCGCTTGTCACCAGGACTTGGATCTATCCCGAGGTTCTTGGACCGTGGATGACTACTGGGGATCCGTAGGACTGCGGCGTGATGGAATGCGTGGAAAAGGTTCAGAGAGAGATGGATGCCAACTTCAATGGAAGAGCTGAATGTTTATGGAATATGTTATATATATACACATGTAACAGATGTGCACCAGTGAACTCATGGTCAATATTGCACGAATCAAAGATAGTCAACGTATTTATTAGCAAAGGGTTTTGGACATGCTTCGCCCTTTTACATAGCAATGAATTTCAACTGGAACGAGACTTAAAGTTGGTTGTCGAGGCACTCGCACCCTGTGTGATGGGGACTTGAGTCTTCCAACGGTCTTTGCACGTACTGCCTTTGCAGGAAACACGGCAACTCAGCATGCAAGGTGTGAGGTGCTGGCTCGGTGTGAGGGCCAGGTGCTGGCTCGGTTTCCCCTTGGTCTTGATTCCGACGCTCCAAGGAGAACTAAGATGGGCGTGGCGCGAAAACCACCTTACTGTAGATCTTTTTCGTACTCCAACGGCCCAACGGCTATCCGAGTCTGCGGGCCCTGCGGTCTTTTAATCCACGGCATGAGTGCTTAACTCGGAGTGCATCCGAGATGTTGTTTGATGAGGGTGCCCTTGCTTAGAAAGAACATGAACGAACAATTGTTTGATTCAAGTGAGTTGTTGTTTTTCCACCCTTTCCCGTGCTTGTCAGCCCTTTTTTCTATTTTTTGAATTTTTTTGAGCGGTATGCACGTTCATTTGGTGCAAGTTGACTTGCACTCTGGGGCTTTGCTTTGGTTGCTTTAAGAGTCCAGCAAGGTCTTGTCGGCAATGCGAATGCTGCATTTGGGTGGTCATTGATAGTATAGAGGCATCATGCAGGCATCCAGTTGGAAGTCATCCCCTCCCATTGTCAGTTACCTGGATGTGGCCGAGGTCATCACCATGTTCCAGGTTCTCCTGCGGGACCAATGGGCTGACGCCATTGTGTGGCCGCTGGTTCAGAAGGCGCAGTCGTCAGCCAAACCGCGTCGCCCGCCTCGTTGATACAGCCAAGCCGATCATCAGGGCCTTGGGAATTTGACGTTGATGGAGATGGCGTTTGAAGAAGGGCTGGTGGCACAAAATGGGCTGAACACTCGTTTGCTATTGGTGGAAACAATGCCCCTTACATGGCTCTACCCTTGTCTTTCACAAAATCGGAACATGTAATTACTCAACCCCCTTGACCGAGTCTGGTCTCCACTCACTTGGCACCACGTGTCCAGAGCAACATGCCGTGCAGGTCGTGACCTCCAAGGGCCGGTAGGGGTTGTTGGGCGGAGGGTCGACCGCTGGGGCGATTGAAAAACGGGCGAAGCCGCGAAGCCCTTCCATTGCCGGTGGGGATATATTTGTAGGGCTCCTGGCCCGGTGGTTGGGGTAGGTGCCAGGGGGGTCTAATCCCCGAACCTGAGGATATAGTTGGAGCCCGAACGGGTATAGCTGTAGAGCCATCCGCTGAGTTATTTGTAGCGGATCCGAGCTGATCTCCGTGGCCAGGATCCCATCTCCGTCAGGGCCCCAGGCACGGATTCGGGCCACCACCCGGCACGGATTCGGGCCACGGTGTTCCGGGTGAAGAACGGGGGGGTGGTGGGGTATGGTGGGGTATGGTGGCGCTCACGGCGTCACATTACCATACACTACCCAGATTTGGACCCCCCAAACCGGTGGATTGTAGAGAGGAAAATGGTCGGTTCACCACGTGAATTCTCAGGGTTCGTCCATTTGCAGGGGACAAATCGCTTGGGATGGTGAACACTGTCCCCGCGAGATATTTGGTTTCTTCTCTATCCTCGAGCTGTTCACCAAGAGAAATAACTGCGCTATTTGGTCAGGGCCTTGTGATGTCGAAGGTGTGCATACGCAAAATATACAACCTGCAAGCCACGTTTCCAGAATGCTCCTGCGTAATTAAGCTCATGAGCCAGCTCCAAATAATGCACAGCGGGCGAGCGCGTAGCTCGCATTGCGGTGCTGTTGCTTTTGCGTGTAAACGCAGGCCCATGTAAGCAATGTTCCTCCAAGATCTCCAAGTGCTGCACATAAGCTGAAGTATGATATATGATGATATACACCCGGGAAGATTAACATAGAACCTGAAAACCACTGGGTTGTAGAGGAAAGTAGTCTTCCAAAGGTCCATTTTCAGGTTCCATGTTAATCTTCCCGGGTGTATGTATGATGTACATAAGTATATATATAGTACAGTAATGATATTATATAATGTATAGGGGGTCAGTCAAAAGTACGCAGATGCAGAAGGAGCATAAGTCATTCAGCTTGCGCTCAGTTGCTAGGCTCTTTTGGATTCGACACGAGCTTCCATATCTTGACGCATGGCATCACACCTGACCTGCATGACCTCCCACAACCTGACCTGCACTCGTTGGCACTGAGGTTCTGATTTTTATCTTTTTCTACTGCATTGTGGTCTTGGCGTTGATGAGCCTTGGACCCCACTCGACCCAACGGTGCGAACGCCTACCGGGACGAACCGCGCCCGTCCCGGTGCCGCGGACCCGGGACGAGCCGGACGTCGGCCGGAGTCCTCTCTGGAGGCCCGAGAGCGAACGACCTGTGGTGCAGAATGCCATAGCTTGTGATGGAAACTATGTCGTTCATTTGATTAGGCCGTAGGTCGACCATATTTGAAGTAATATGATCCAGCGTCTATTACTGCTATAAAGGTCCCAGCGTTTATTTCTATGAAGTGAGTCTCCCAGCGTCTATTACTATAAAGGTTAGGTTCGACTTAGTTTGAATTTAGCTAACTCATGCTAACTCTATAGAGGTTGGTAAGTGGTTTGGTCCGACTTAGCTGAGTGGATGTGAAGTCAAACAGGGTTAAGTTTGTATCTTTGCCATAGCTTGTTTAATTGACTTTTGCGGCGTTGCTGCGTTGCTGCGTGTCCGTTTTGTCATTGCCGAGTGTATTTGCATCGAGCAAGATCGACGGTGATATCGAGTGAAGTACAACAATGCATGAGACTTCAAGAAAAACAGATAGCAAATGTCAGGAAACTGTTTGGCACCAGAACGTCTCTTGACATCAACAGCCAATTGAACTGACACAACATTGTTTGACCTAATACCTTCAAGAATACAGTCAGCGTTTAGACTGTCAGCATTTTTTGACACATGATCTCTTTAGGTTTATATATATATATAAAGCGAAACAAACATTTGTCAAGCAATTTTCTGACACACAACGCTTTATATAAGACTTTAAGACTAAAGTAAACATTTAGTAACAGGGACATTTGTCAAAACATCTGACAAATATTCTCTCAAGACATCTCAAGCCTGAAGCTTAAGACTTCGCTATATAGACTTAGCTAGCCAACTACTCGGTTTTCTGGGCCTTTTTCACGCATCCGAGGAACAACGTCACTGGCGTGGTTGTGGTGCCTTGTCAACATTCTGGGCACCGGCACAGTGTGGAACCGGACTTGTTTGGGAACTGAAGCTTAAAGCGCCATCATGACCTGGACGCGACGGAACCTGCACCGGGCAGAACACCAAGGATGCGGTCGGTGGGTGGGCCCAGATAGAACTTGAAGAAAAACAGGATTGAAAGACCGTTTTTTTGGGGTGGATTGGTGGATTTGGTGTGCCAGGTTTGTGGATGAAGGGCATGTTTCTTTAAATTTTTTAAAAGCTAACTCTTGCAGATTGGGGCACCGGCAAAATCGTTGGAGGATGCGACCTAGGGGGTGGCCTATAGAGCTACCTGCCGGTGCCCTCGCTTCGCTACGCTGACCCTCCATGTCAATGCCATGTCGCAACTCCGCGGGAGAGGGAAGGATCAGAGAGCAAGACAACAAGAGGCCCAATTTGCCAATCCAGCGGAGCTCGTCATGCTTTTCTAAATGAGATTGTGATGTGGTTTTTCTGATTTCTTTGTGCGAGGAGTGTGCGATGGAAGCGTCCACTGTGTGTGGCGAGCTCTACCAAAAGGAGCAGGACCAGCGGACAAATGGGCGCAGCTTGAGGTGAAAGATTTGAAGTTGCTCGAGAATGTTGACTTGTCATGATTAAAACACTCTAATGTGGAGAGAATGTGGAGTCTTGCTGATGATCAAAACCATCATCTCAGGGCATGAATGTATGCATTAGTATGCATACACCATATATGTATCACGTATACTATTATACCATCCCCAACTCATAAGAACCACCTGTCCAACTGGCAGACCTGCAGACAACTGTCAAACCGACACCGCAGACCCGCGCGGAGCCGGCGGGCCCAGGGTGGGGGGTCGCACATGGAAGAATGCACAATGTACGCACCTTCAAAAGGGGCTCCAATGGAATACCCAACAGAGCCCTTGTGGATCTTCATTGGACACCACCCCTTTAAAGGTCCAGTTGTACGCACATGTAACATACATTTGTTTCTCGAAACTGTCGCTTTGACATGCTTTGACAGGACAAGCAGGCAGAGTCCATCATGGCTTCCTTGAGGCCTGAGATGTGTTGAAGTTTCGCCGAGGGGATTGCGAGGCATTTGTGCCTCCAAGCTCATCAACTGAGCAGCTTTGCGTTTTCCCATGTGTTTCACCATCACTTGCGACAACGCAGAAGTCGCTGGGTTGTGACCTTCATCATCCATGGGTGAGGGCGGCTAGTTGAGGCCAAGGCCCGGCGAATCGATGATCGCTTTACCTCGATCCACACCATGCTACATACATTGAGTCATGTAAGCCTGCGCCCTCCAAGATCGGTGGTTCCTGGTTCCAAAGTGTCTCCAGAAGCCACCTCTTTTTAGGGTCCTAAACACATACAAACATCAAGCCGTTGGGAGGTCGAAGAGTCTCAGCCCACCTTGGACATGGTTGGATCTCACTGGGATGTGATTGAACTGCTTCCAACATCTTCGATCTAGGATGACGCTGGACAGAACGGACGCAAGCAACAATGCATGACTTCATGCTTTGGTCTCCCAAACCGCGCCAAAGGCGGACCTCAAGAGGTGTGTTCCAGCGGTATGCATAGCACGGGGAAGAAGGTTGTGTTGTAGAAGGTCTCCCCCATGTCAGAGACTGAAGGTCCCCGGGTCAGAGACGGAACAGAAAACCACCAGAGAGAGAGAGAGAGACCATGAGACTGAACCCATCATACCACTCAAGCGTCCCTGTCTCAGAGTCCTACGACGCGTCTTCCAACAAATCCAACCATCGGCCCGGGATGAAATATCACACATCGAACCTGAAGACCACTGGGGGTTGTAGAGGAACATCATGGAACATCATGCAGGGTCCAGGTTCCAGGTCTCTTTCCCGGGTGTATCGAGCAGCCAGGGGTTTGAGGACATGCATGTTTAGACCACGCCAGGACCCACCGAAAATGGGCTTCCTCGGACAGGACGCTTCCGGACCGCTGCGATGGGCTCCGCGCCGTCCACGCCGCGACAAGACGCGCGCGGTCGGCAGGCAGATCTTCCGCGCCGCCGACGCTGACGACTCGGGGGACTTGGACCGTGAAGAGTTGCGGATCGCCCTGCGTCCCTCGGGCGAATACGCAGCGTTGGTGTCGCGGGTGTCGCGGGTTTTGCGGGTGCGGGTGAAGCTAGAAGACAGGCCTCCTGCAGTGAAGAGGAAGAGTGGATCAAGCCAACCTGATGCGGGGAAGAAGAAAGGTTGGTAGTTTTCTGGCGCCAAGAACAGGTCGAAGAAACATGTTTTGTTGGAAGGGAGTCTTTTAGGTGATTGGATGGTTGAGAGGAAGGTTCCAGCTGGACTGAGTCCAGGGATTGGAGGTCTAAGTCTATTTCATCCGATCCAGTGGGCCCAGTGGGCTGGCACTGGCGCGGGCACAAGCGATCCAAGTGATGGCACCTGACCCTGCAGATGGGACCTGGGTCCTGCCGCATCCTGAAAGGACCCTAGGGCCCTAGGTAGGCCTGTGGAAGGTTGCACCAGTGGTCAGAAGAGCTCAGCTTGTGTCCGGATCAGGGGACTTCCAGATTCAGGGTCCTGCATCCCCAGGGTCGTCACAGGGTCCTGACAGACTGAGAATGTGGTCAAATACTGAAGCCAAACCATGGAAAACCATGGAAAACCACAATTTGCACTCTATATATATATATATAGGTTGGACATGACTGGAAGTTATATGAAATTATAGTTCAGATATATTCGGTCCATTCACCAAGCTCTATAGTCCATGCAAATGGATTGGTGGTCTGGAGATGCACTGAACGCAGGGTATGCTCCACAAATACCAATACTTGCATGAAATAACCGAAGTGATGAACTGAAGTTCCTTGAAGTGATGAAGTGTGATACCATGAAGTGATGAACCGAAGACCAGTCCATACGTCCACACAGCAAGCTTCTTCCGTCTCTTCCAACACCCATCCGGTTCAATTCACCGGCCCTTTGCTCGCTCGTGGGACACCACTGGTGATCCTGGGATGGGCGAGCCGAAGCCGCGATGCGGAGAGGAAGGGTTTTTCTCTTCGGCGAGAGCACCACGTCACCCGTCGATCGCTTGGAGAAATGATGAGAAATGTCTTGGACTGGAAAGAATATGAGAAGCCGGATCGATGGAAAGAACCTGGCCCACGGATGCTGCAAGTCGCTGCAGCCAGAAAAACAACACATATAGTTTGTGTGTATCTTTTTGGTTTGGATATCTCTTGTCACACCTTTCCACCAATGTCTATCACACATTGCCCATATGATTCGTTTTCAAAATTATCGTCATTTACTTTATACAAGGGTGTTTCAACATACAAAAAGTCAACATCATAAAACGATACCCCAAAGCCATACCCCAACGATACACGAAAGAGTGCAAAAAGGGAAGTTCCTTAGACAGTGCCCCATTGGGCAAGTCTGCAAAGGTGCAGGGAGGCTTGTGTCTTCTAGTGAAAGAGATCATATCAGCAAACGAGCGGCAGAAACCAGCAATGTTGCGCTTTGCTGGAGCAGCCCTCCGTGCTGTTGTCCTTCCTCACAGAGCTCACACTTCCAGTGTTTGCAGGGGATGCTCTCAGATCATGAATGATCACCAATAGGGGTTCCTGTGTTTTGTTGTTTGCGGGTTTGTTATGATCCGTGACGTTTATGGTTGGTGGCAAGTTTTTTTCCATGCCAAGCATGTAAGACCTGCAAAACGGTGCATACAGTGCTCAACCTACCAAACATTTGTAAATCGCTACGGGGCGTCCTAACTTTGAATGAATACAGCTTAAGCCAGTAATTTAGAAAACAACTCATACAGTTATATAAACATAATGTTATACGCTTGTAATAAATATTACATCATGACATCGGTGATATGCAGGTATGTCCGTTCCTGTTTATTTGTTGCGAGAGTCCATCAAATGTGCCATGTCCTTCAGACTGAGGCACGCTGAGGGTTAGAGACCGTGGCTTGGCTCGCACGTTATTTGTAGGTGAATTTTGTCATGCACTTCTACGAACAATGATGCTGGCTGATCTTCAAATTTTTGGGATACACGCCCATATGTGTACCTTCCAACTATGCAAAATGTTTACCTTTTAACCTATGTTTGCATGGTTGGAAGATCCATCTTATATATACAAATATTTATATGGATAGCTCACTTGGAGACTTTGGCGATCAGATCTCTTCGGAGCCCGTTTTCTTCGGCCGGGGGTGGGCGGTCGCTTCGGTCTTTTGGCCCGGGCCACTGGGGCGCAGAGCCTCCGTCTTTGGGGTGCCACCATAAGGGATAGGGGCGTGCGAAAAGGAACATCCAATCACTTGCTGTTTGGACTCAAAATCATTGCAACATGGAAATGCTGGTGTAGCTCTATTTGTGCTTAAGATGCTTAAGATCCACACTTTCAGGTTGAGTCAGAGTCCTGTTTTCATGGGATTTTCGGGCACACATCTTGTGATGGACTCCACAAGCCGCCCAGATGGGGCAGCACCGGGCCGATCCAGGACGCCTGGATCCAGCCTGCGGCTGAGGATTGAAGGTCTTGCAGATCCCTATCCGGGATCTTGAAATGCTCTTCATGCTGCTCGACGAGGAGCGGGCTCATGCGGGGCCCACATGTCGCTCTCGCGAAATCGCTTTCGCTTAGCGAACATCTGGGCGGGGGGTTTTCAACTTGAAAGATGGGATGAAGGGACTCCTTCGGCACCAGCTGCTTGACTCCCCAAAGGGTCAACTTTTGACTCCCCGTGTTTGCTCGACATGATTATCTTGCTGATGGTGCGTGGGGGGCGGAAAAAGAGGCGGCATGCCGATGCCCGGTTCGCCGGCCTTTGGCTTGTTTGTTGGTGCCTTTGGCTTTTACTAAAGCTTGTTACTAATAGCTTCTTGTTACTACTAGTAAGGCACTTGTTACTAGAAGCGATGCACTTGTTCCCAGTAGTTTTTTTTCTAAAAAAAAATTCTTAGGCTGGCGATTGTTTTTTGTTTAGGGCACCTGTGTCATTCACCGGTGGGTTTTCGTTGTGTGCGGGTCAATGGAGTTGACAGAGGTCTCCACCCCTACCCTCCGCCTCACGAACATGGAAACGGCACATGGCCTTTGGGAAGACATGGGAAGACCATTTTCCTCTACAGTGTGGTTTCCACTTCCATGTGATGTGTTCGTCGGGGTGTGGGGGCACAGCGGAGAGCTCCTCATCGGAGATACACTTGACTCAGCCTGAAGAGGCAGTCGGACGACTGGTATGGTTCTCTGCGAGTAGGATAGAGCAGATACTGAGAAATCGGACAAACCACTTGAGAATACTTGAGATAAAGAAGATCCAACTCCTCACGTTCGCAATGGTCCAAATGTCAGACAACAGCTTGGTGGATAACTCATCTTCATTCTATCCTGAGAAAAACAAACACGTTGCTGTTCTTTTATGTGGAAACGTCCGTTTTTTCCGCAGTTGAAGTCTGCGGATGGGCGTCCGTTCCGGCGGCGTTCCACCCGGCCCCGGTGGCGATCGAACGCCAGGACAACAAAGGTGTCATCAAATGTCGCCTGGTGCACGGCGTTTGGTTCGGAACGAGGGTTCGCAAAAGGCCACGGCCCTTTTTTCGCATGGAGAAAACCCTGACCTTGGCCATACAAAAAGAAACCACCAGACTCACGAGTGGGGGCGTTTGTTTTTTTGGATTTTGTGTGTTGCCCTTTTTGGGAGAGCTATCGGAGAGATAGAGGAGTTATATATTTATATATCATATAGTATTTTATATAGTGTACTTGTCTTAGTGACTTAGTGGACAAAAGAACCATGGGTTGGGAGATTTGGCGATCGAAATGCGAGGCAATCGATTGCTATAGATGGCTTTTGTTCGACACATGCGGCAAACAAAGATGTGGCTGTTTTGACGCTGACCCTTAGTTAGCATGACATATAACATTCATATACATTCACTTGTATACATGGTGGAACTGTGGCCATCAGTGTGCCCTCGTGCTTAAAAAAGAGGGGCATCATGTATGCGGAGGGCGGAGGACCACCATGGGCAATTAGTTTAATGCATTCCCACACGCCAGCAGTTCCATGTCGAGGTGTTCAATGGGGCCCTGAAGGTGCCCTGAACATCCACTCATGTTTGGACTCGAAACCGTTCCGACATGGACCTGCTGGCCCGGGACATGGACCTGCTGGCGCGGCCATTATATCAGTTGCTATGATATAACCACCTTTGGTTGTCCAGGTGTGCCCACTCCGCCAGTAGCTGCACTTGGAACTTTCTGCTGCAATCACTGGGCCATTCTGCCCATTTCACACTCCGCTGTTGGAACTCTTGGAACACATATGTCCAGCTTTCCCCATAGTCAAACATCTCAACTTGGGAACGTCAACCAAAATACAAACTCATATGAAGACATGGATGTGAACATATGTGAACCATCTTCAAAACGATTGGAACACTATGGAACACTTCTCTTAGGAGAACCCCTGGCCAGTCCTTGGCAGCTCCACACCGGCCGAGCGCGACTCCTTCGCCCGAGCTTGCCCGCGCTCGACGCCGAGGCGACTACTTCTTCCGCGGGGTGGCGAAGTTGCGAGGCTTAGCCAAGGCGAAGGACCTGCACCAGTTGCCCCTGGGACCTTCTCGAAGGGACCTGGAGCGCCAAAGTTAAGGAAACCAGAGGAAACCCACCCAGGCTTATAGAGGTGTGCAGCAAGAACAGGGAGACCCCCTGATCGCCCCCTGGATTGGTAGACTGGTCGACAGGTTCCTAATATATTTTAATACTCACCCATATGGCCCACATGGGGGATCGGTCGTTCGTCTGGGTCAACCGGTCATCCTGGTGCCATGACGAGATGGCACAGCTGGATGTATTGGATTGAACGATGTCTGCTGTTTTCCCTCTGCTTCGTGCTTGGGCGTCGGTCGCGTCATATTTGAGTCCACCAGGTACAGTTTGGGGAACACATTCTGTGGGCTACCCAAAGTCAGTGGAAGACCTTTAAAACACCTTTCACTTGGGTCTGTCCTGGAAAACCTGTGACGAGCCGTCGGGTATCATGTTCCTTTTTGAGCTGGATGTCGGCCTGCAACCAGGCCCCATCATAATCTATCACCTGATGGGTGATTACTCCATTCTTGAAGCAAGCAAAAGTCTTCAGCCTTATTTAAGGTATAAGTTATTTTAGTGTGTGGTGGCTTCATGGCAGGTACCCTTTCCAGAGTGATGTTGTTCAATTGTTGGTGGTTCTTGAGTAAGGGACTTATGAAATTCTTCAGCCGAAGGTTTTGGTGTTTGGTGATTCCAAGGGATGGGATGAAAAGAAGGGAATCCTGAAGGAATCCAAAGAAGGAATCAATCAATAAAGAACTGAACGGTACAAACACTACATAAAGCTACAGTACTTTTTGGACCCATGAAAAAAGAGCTCTATTTTGGGTGCAAGCTTTTCAGGTTACAAGATTACAGATTATTTATCAACAACCAACACAAGAAAGACAAGCAATGTCCTGCAAATTACTATGGTAACTAAACGAAAATGATCAACTACCTATGGGACAGCAATACAAAAGTCATCATGTAAACCAGACATCTACTGCTGGTTCCCAGCAACAAAGCGCACGACATCCCAACGAGACAGCAAGCAGAAAACTCATCATGTGGAGCAGAAATTTGCTGCTGAAAAACTCAACACACACAATCAGGAGCCCCTGGTAGCGTCCTTGTTCCTAGTAGTAAGGCTAGGAGCCCCCTAGTAGCGTCCTTGTTCCCAGTAGTAAGGCCAGGAGCCCCTAGTAGCGTCCTTGTTCCTAGTAGTAAGGCTAGGAGCCCCCTAGTAGCGTCCTTGTTCCCAGTAGTAAGGCCAGGAGCCCCTAGTAGCGTCCTTGATTCTAGTAGTAAGGCCAGGAGCCCCTAGTGGCGTCCGTGTTCCTTGCTCCTAAAGATAACGCTTTACTTGTTCTATTTTTTGAACGCTGGAAATGTATTTCGGGTTAGTGTATTCAATTCATCTCCCTAGCGATTTGTTTAGTGTTTCTTTAGTGACATAAGTTTGTCAATTAATCCTAGGCCGACATTCACTGCAAATATGATGGGACAAAGACATCAAGATCTGCAATGATATGCCGAACGGTCCAGTTGAAGTTCCTCAAGCTGGTAGGCTTTTAGTCCATGTTTTGGTCCTTTACTCATCTGATTTGTCCACTTCCCCTGTGTTGTTTTTCCAGTTTTGTTGTCCATGACGTCCATGGGAAAACCCATTTTTTCGCATGTCGTCGGATGGAATGGGGCAAAGCTGTGCCCCGCAGGAACACCTGTGCCCCTGGAGGAACCTTCTAGCTGCGTTTTATGGGATTTCAGGTGCCCAGAAGGGGGCCTCCCCCAAAAATCCAAACAAACAAACAAACAATCAAACACACAAACAAACAACAAGGTGCAGGCTCCCCAAAAGGTGCTCACAGCGGCAGCTCGCACGAAAATAACGCTTTTGTCTCGGTCGGTCCGACCCAAACCTTCGTTTGCAGCAATTACTCGTTAAGATGTCCTACAAAACATGCGGGTTCACTACTAAACCACCATACTGAAATCGGGGAATGGTCCTCCCGACGTGCCCAGAAGCGACCAGAACGCCGCCGCGGTGACACCGAGGTCCATTGACCTCAACCGGCGCATGCTTTGGGTGGACGAGTATGAAGCCAAGGTCTCAGGCCGTGGACGGACGAAACAATGCGGGTGTTCGTCCGGAGCATCAATGGACTGAAGAACCTCCGCCTCTACAATGACATAAATAGAATATTATATATATATTTTTTGGACGAACATTTGCTATAGTTGTCCAATTTGATTGACAGGAACGTGCTGGGCCCAATGGTTTCTGGTCCATTTTCCGAACCTTGTAGGGAGTCGCCTGGGAGGTCTCCCTATTTCAACTTTGCAAGCTTGAAGGCAATGTAGGAATGATTGTGTATTAACTTGTTAATCCCACTCACATGTTCACCTACAAGAAACATAAGAAACGATCTTGACCAAGTTTCGGCCCATTCTTTCAACTCCTCAATGGCATCGATTCAGTGCTTACGCACGCAGGCGCCGAAACACACCGCTACCCCTCCAAAACCAAACAGACCCAGGTCCTGGTCTAGCTTCCAACCATACCACGTAACAATTCGATGTACAGCTCCAGCTTCCCTTCATTCAAAAAAGAAGGCGCTAGATTTTAAATAAGTTCTCATCATCCCTTTTCTGGTTTGAGCGTTGAAAAACGCCTTCAGGCCAATCCGTGTTGGTTTGGGCAGCCAAAAAGCGCTAATACATGAAGCACACGTTTGGCTACAAGTCTACCTCCGGTTCCGCCGCGGTTCCTCCGGTGTTCGCCGGTTCCGGCACCGTCGGACCAGAAGTCAATGACGTTCTGGTGGACATGGTGGACGCGATGGATGAGCTTGATACTCACATTGTCAAAGGACCGGGACGGAGGAACATTGGGACACGTGTGTGGGCCCACCCGGAGTTCGTTGTCTGGAATATTTGAAGGACTGTGATCCTTAACTTTGATAGTACCAGCCTATTCCAGCCTATTGGACCCAATGGCTGCTTTTGGGGCTGGGCTGATCCTTGTGGTGGTTTCTTCCGTGCGTTCAATTCAAATCGTTGTGATTTAATACGATTTTTGTGTGTGTGTGTGCCATTTGTGGGTGCACGTCAGAGCGAGCGTTTCTTTATGCTTTTGGGGATCAAGGGCCCTTTCAGCCAGCCCATGAAGAGGTTCTTTCAATTTGCAACCCTGAGTCCAACCCGCGATTCTTCAGCTACAACGAATACCCCAAAATGATCAACATGAGGGGGTTTTACATGGTAATGCCGTGAGCTGTGTTAAAGCTTCATGTTCTTCAACTCAGCACTCGCGTTCAGTCGGAGATGGTTTGAGTCCAGAACTTCGAGGGTTTCGTCTTTCGGGGCCCGCCATCGGATGGAGATGGCACAAATGTCCAATGTCGGTGGTGAAAATGGTGGACCCTCATCTGACTTTTAAGGAACTGCGCCCGAGATACTCTCACACCACTTGATGTTTGCATAAATTGAGTTGGAGTTGGAGATTCCATTGGCTCCAGGAACTGCTACTACTTATATAATGAGTCCAAATCATTCAAAATCGAAACGGTCGTTCGTGTTTTTTGTTGAGAATTGCTTGGGATCCAGGAGATAATGATGAGCGCGATCCAGTCGTCGCTGCCAGGCAGACCGGCATTTGTCTTTCCTGCCTTAAAAGAGACATGTGGTATAACTTGATAATTGCTGCAATGTGTTTTGCAAATTGTGTGGCAAAAATCATATGATGTTCCAAATTGTTGATTGTTGGTTCAGTTGCTGTGCCATTGAGTTTGTCATATTTGTCGTTTAGAGGCTGAAACGGAGTCTGTTTGTCCGGATTGGGAAGAAAGGGGTCATGAAAGTTGAACTACTGCAGTCGTACCGGTCAGCCAGGCGGTCGTAGGCCAGGCTTCCTTCTGCAATCCTGGGAAGGAGGACGTACCGGTTGTTTCAATGTTGTCCCTTTGTTTTCACTCAGGGTCACAGCCAGGTTGAGCCCAGGCCCAAGGACCTTGGAATCCTATAAACTCCTACCCATCAAGACATTTGCACGTGCTATGCGGCTACACTGAACCTGCAAAAGGGTTGGCCGCTAATCAATCAGGCCGTTCGGAAGAGTGGTCATAGCTGTTAACAGTTTGAGTCGAGCCTCTAACTTGGCCGTTGCTGTCGTGAATGTTTTGGCTCAAGCACGCAGGCAGCTCTTGAGCGGCCATCAGCCGTGCATTCCTCAATCGATCGATGCGTGATTCGTGGGCTTGGCCAATGGACCGCGAAGCATCGCCCAGGGCCTCTGACCATCTCAGGGGGACTGGAACTCGTCATCTTCCTTTGCCTGGTTCCGGCACTCCAGGCTATGCTGAGGGCGTGCCCCAGGACAGACCGCGCGGTGTACTCCAAACAACCTGAGGGTAAACCCACCTGCCGTGGCAGGCATTTTTGGGGGGGAGAGTGCACATGCATGTAAAGCTGCCTGGGTGCCGGGCTTTTCGACGTAGACTCCGGCCGCAGGAAGTCTTATTTGAGAGTGGGAGCTCTCCCATGGAATATTTTGAAGCAGGCAAACGAGTCTTGCAATTCCATTCAGCTCATGCTTTTCCACTTTGTTTTTGAGACCGCGCGTCGTCCTAGTCTCGCTTAGAGTGACTAGCAGCTCGTCGTCAGCCTCCTAGTCTCGCCAGATCACACTCCACCAATTCCTGGCAATGAGATCGCGTACGCACAAGCTCGTATGTGCTACTCTCATCTCGTCGCAAAGGGTCTTTCCTTTGCCCACTGGACCATCACTCGCTCGCTCAGGACTTGGCCCACTGGACGAACTGCCGATTCCTCCCACTCAAAGTGCTCAGGAATGGCTGGACCGCGGTGGCTGCGCGGGTGCGTGGAGCCACTCGAGCGCGTCCACCAGTTGGACCAGCTCGCGTCCGTCCGGGCAGACGATGCATCAGGGTGTGGTTCCCGTGGGTTGGGCTCCGGCGGCCCAAGGGAGGGTGGGGTCTGACCCAGTGGCATCCGCGTGGCTGGTGGATGAGAAGCTGCGATCGGAAGACATGAAGCTGATTGCGCAGCTCGAGCGTATGCAAGAAAGACATTTCAATGAAATACGTGTCTTGGATGAAGTGAACATCTGATTTCTTGCTCCCAAAAGGTTCAACTATGTTCCAATATGTTCAACATTGTTCGACTATATTTATCCGCGCGTGTGTAGTACGCCATCCTATTTTAGAGGATATATGATATATCTGAAGAGGTTCTTCATGTTTCTTCTAGAGGCCCTATAAACCTAGGGTTTCTTCTATTTGATAGGCCAAATCTCCTACAGTATGTACAAATAGACGGGAGAACACATGCCACCAAACGTTGTGTTTTCTATTTGGTGCTTAGGTTGTGCAGTGTGGCTCCTAATTAAAACATATTAAAACTCACTTGCCTTTGAACTACTATTTTTAGCTCCTTGACTTAATCGGCAGAAGATCGTCCACCTCAACCCTTTGAAGCCAACCAGCAGACTGAAGCAGGTGTTTGACCAGTCCGCTGTCCAGGTTCGGTGCTCGGGTCAGCCGAACCCTGGAGGCTCCTGGTATAGGGTACCTTTCTCAGGTCCCGACCTTGTCGAGTCGGTCGGTGAGGCGGTGGAGAACCTGCAGGTCGCCTTTTTGGTGGTCGAGGGGGGCCACCCGAAAAAGACCAACAGTGCGTTTGTGCGTTCGGTTCTCCTTGATAGTTCCACAATGTTCCACAGAATCTCCCGCAACTGTGGCAGCCTCGAGGTGGCATCTACCAATCACGGTTGGACATGGCAGCGCCTCACGAGCGTGATCATGTGGTGTCGATCTCGAATCGGCATTTGCAATGCCTGCGGCGGTTGAACCATGAGCAGCTCGAGCAGCAGCGGGTCTTGTGCAATTGCCAATCGGACACTCGGAGAAGAAGAGGAAAATGAGATCGTGGGTCTGTGGATCGAGGGCGGGTTCTCCGTGCCAGCTCGGATTCCAAGTCAGTGTTACATGATGGACACGTAGATCCGGTCCATTCAACGAGTCCCAAACACGACCCATGGGATTGCCATATATTTGCCTACATTGAGGTGGTTTGGGGGGTCAATGTGGGCATATATTCCACACATGGAGTAGTCTGGGAGTTGTATCATGGACCAGTATTGACAACCAAAAGGCAGTTCTCAAACACGAAGATCAGCAAGAGCGGATCAGCAAGAGCGTCTTCGATCTCCGTGGTGACTTCGGGATGTCAATCGTGGGCGTCGCCTGGTAAGGACATTCGGCGGCAACTTCTATTTGGCCTCGAGGCGAAAGTGCAGAGATACCAGTGAGCTGGACGTTTCAACAAAAACACCGCCCAAAGGCACCAACTTGATGCATTTGGCGTGGAAAATGAGATGCCAATGAGTTGGAATTTCCCGGGATTTGAAGCACGCTGATGCTGTTATTAACAGTTAGCCTCGCCCAAAAATGGCGCGGGTGTTTTTCCAAGAAAAGCACCATGATTATGTTATGGTTGTGAATTCTGTTTTCAACTCTCAACCCGCCATCGGCGGGGTGTGGCCGGCTGAGCTAAGTCCCTGCCATTGGCCCTCACCCTGTTTTTTTTCCCCTGGCGCAGTTCTAGGGTTTTGCAGCGAATTCATGGAATCCGAACAGTTTGGTGGGAAGAGTGTTGCCAAAACACGAGAGAGACACGGAGAGACGGAGTTCTATACAATAATGTTCTACAAGTTACAAGATGGTTTCACAAGTTGCCCTAGACTTAGACGCCCCACGTCACGCAAATCTTTAATTGTGCCATTAGGGTGTGTTATACAATATATATATATTATATATATATATATTATATATATATATTTATCAATATGTTAATAATGAGGCTAAAACACGCTGAAGATGCACATACTGGCATAGGTCGTTGCAGCGCAAGCCCTGAATGAAGCCCGCCTTGAATAGACTATAGTATATATGTTTGGAGTTGATCTGTCAACGCATAGGGCAATGTTGAGTTCTATTATTGCTAATGCAATGCCACAGCATCATGATTAGGGCCCAAGTGAAAGATCATGCCACCCTATGTTTAACATAGCAAACATGGAACACTTGTTTGTGCAGGTGCAAGGGCTGGCCAGGGGAACCTGGACTTGATTCAAGTAAAGGATTTGTGAATGACTTGGGCAGCGGCCCTGTGATCAGCACTATGGCGGTACCGGTCCCACTTCCACTTCCTTGAAGAAATAGCACTATAGATCATTATAAGATATGATTAGATTATAGAACATATATATATATATCATAAATTTCCACATGCAACTTCTTGAAATATAGCAAATACGTTCTTGCGCTTTAGCACCAAGCCAATGGTCCGCGCTTTTCCACCTGGTCCGATCAGGCGTGGGCGACCTCCAGTGTCCAAAGGACGGGCGACCGATCGGAACGGCGAACGCGTTACGCCGCGGAGAGAGGCAGAGCGGAGAGCGAATCAGTTTGGCACCAGTCGATTGGCAGATCGATTGGACGTTTGGATTCCAGTCGCTGGGGGGAGCTTCCAAGCCTTAAAGGAGAAGTGGAAATGTGGAGTATTCACTGATGGTTTTCGCCTCAGAAAGGCCATGGTTCTCATACGTCGCGGATCCACGGTGAGAGATGACTAGTAGAGGAGGCACATGGAGGGGCCAAGCATGTCCAGACGGACTGGATGGCATGGCCCCGAGGTCGGAGGACCATTGTCCGAAGACCAAACTGGTTGTTTTCCACTTTCATGATGATTCCCTGGAGTGCAAAAGTGCATATAGATTGCAAGAAACATCAAGAAACCATCTGCCCAGAGAGAGAGAGAGAACACCGCAGAGGATCGCAGAGGATCAGTGGCAATTGCTGGAAAGTCCACGTTTTCCAAAGTCACACTCCCTGAAATCAAATCTGACATGGTTTCGTGATGTTTCCGTGGAGTGAGTGAACACCTGTGAAAACCACCGGGTTGGTCGACCTTGGAGAACCCATCGTCATCCAGCCCGGGGCCGGGCATGATCGTCGGCCACTTCGACCTGTGAATCACTCATGTAGACTCTTGATGAATCAAAGCTCCGTATTTCTACAGGCGGTATTATTGAAGGGCTTTATATACCAGAACACCCCAAAAAGGGTTCTATTGATAGCCCCTTAGATGTGATTCAGGGTGTCCATTAACCCTTGTGGGTCCTGGTGTATCTCAGTGCCTGGCGGGTTTTACAACTTTGTACCGGTTTATGGTTTGCGTCTACTACGTACGTTGGTTTCTATGGTGCAGCGCCCCGCCGTCCGTGCGACCATTGTTCGGCCAAGTGAGCTCCCCTGAAGACCAGGCGAAAAAAGCGAGTGTGTTCACAACCGGTGTTGCTGAATAAGTTGAACGTTTTGCGTTTTTCATGTTTGTGTCCAAATAGAATCTTTGTGACTTTATGTAGCAACAACACCAGGTGATCAACCAGTGATCAAGATACTAGGATTTTGTACACACACACACATCATATCATATATATATATATCATATATGATACGGTACATGTTTCGAGAGGGATCATGTCTACTTTCAGGGTTCAACCGCCATCCAGAGTGGTTTGTATGCGTTTGTATAGGTTGTGTCCCAGTAAACCAGCCACAGTCGGTCATTCGCTGGGCTGCTCGCAGTGGGGCAAAATCGATCCGTCACACTAGACACTAAGAACTATACAGTGGGCCATCAGAGTAGATGGCACAGACCTCAAGATGTCCTGAAAACGTGGGGCTTCATATCAACCACCGACATTCAAATTCCGTGCCATTGGTCCTCTCAATCCACTATAGATCCACCACACCCTCATGTGGGTTTTCGGTGTTCCTTCTTTGCGGAGACCGTGCAACGGCCGAACGGAGCGCCGGACCGACCTCAGCAGTCAGGACGAATCCTACGAGGAGTCTGGAAAGATGGCGCGGCGGCGCTTGGTTTTGAACGGACCGAATGATGTTCTCCAAGGATTTACAACAGGTATTGAACAAAAACACGCACTTAATATGAGAACTTATAATGCAAACATCAACCAAGCAAAAGCTTCGCCCTTGCAACGCTGAGCTTTTGGTTTCCCAGCCATTTGTTGCAACTGATGGCCAGCCTATGGCCACCTGAAAGAAGGAGCGCAGTGCCCACAGCCGGACCACCGAATCCGGAGCGATCTGTTGAAGCGACGTGTTGGTGTCGCTACGGGCGCGAGAAACTGCGTCCCCCGAAGTGAACTTGAAATCTGAAGAAGGTATCATCAGTCAAGAAGTCTAGAGTGAAAAGGCAGGCAGATCGGAACCCCAACCATGCCTTCGGTGGGTTGAAGCATAAGGAAGCGTGAAATGCTCCGCGGGAAATGGGACGGTGGATCCGATCGACCGCCAGGCCGTCCCATGCAACAGGGTTCCAAGAACCCATGGTTCGACTTTGAGGAGTTGCAGAAAGATGCCAAGGCCTCGGCCTCTCGTCGTTCGTTCGGGGTTGGTCGCGAAAGGAAGTGGGGGGAAAACCACCAGGCGGCCGGCAAGCTGGCAGATGGCAGGGTGGAAGCTGGTCCATGGGTGGGTTCCAGAGATGGAGTATGAATTTAAGATGAATAGTTAGTCCGATAGTCCCTTTTCTTAGCAGCAAGAAGCTATTAGGGTGGAGGCCGTTGCTATTAGGTTGGAGGCCATTACTACTACTGTAGTAACAAGAAGCTACTAGCATTGGCCGAAGGATCCAAATCCCCATCTCCTCCCCTCTCAGAGTCTCACATAGTCTCACCTCTCACCATGTTTTGTCGTTTGGTCCACCAACTCCTTGTCTTGTTGTTTTCTTGTGTTTGACCTCACCGCACCCTCGGGCAGGATCAGAAGAAGAAGCTGGCTGCGAAGCTTGGCTTTGGCCTTGAACAGTTGCTTCCGCAAGCACGGTGGGTGTTTTCCTGCCAGCTGCCAGCTGTGGTCCCGAAATCGGGAGCGAACAAGCACTGGGCTTAGCGAGGTCGCACCATGGGCTTCCAAGCTTTACTGGGTTTATTGCTGGGTCCATGGTGTGCATGTTTGTTTCGACCGGGGGGGCGGGGAAAGGACAGGAAGAGTTGCAGAGGTGATCAGCTTTCCTTACCATGTCCTTTTGCAATGCCGAGAGGCCCAACCCCGGCGCCCCAGTGGTTGGACCTGTGTGTAGACCTTTGTTGAAATGCCCGCAGATATTGGCAGGCATGCGGTTCTGATGTTTCTTTAATAAAACAGTCGCGTGCGTTGACACATCTTTCTTTGAGGCAAAGAGGTCGGGCAATTATTTGAAGAGGTAACGTCGTTTCGGGATGCATCACTGAACAGTGCATTGCTAAGATGATTGCCGCAAGAGACCCTGAAACACTCATTGCTTCCGGAGAAAACTTCCTGCATGCTCCCTGTCATTTGCGCGCGAAGAGAGATCGGTCATCTCAGCGTGTCATAAATGGATACAATGATGTCGTACATGTTAAACAAACCAAGAGAGGTGGAACGTGACCTGGTGACTAGGAGTCACTAGGACCCGTCACCTGGGGTACCGAACTGGGATAGTCAACCTTTGTTGGAAATGGCCCAAACGATGCCTGGCACCGCGCACGGCCTCTGCACCGACCGACCGACCGACCGACCGGCGAGCGCTCAGGAAACGCCGCTCTGAGGTGCGATGGCGATGGCGATGGGAGGGGAGGGGAAGAGGAGTACATGGAACCTGTGGTTTTGGCACTCCGAAAGACGGTTTCCCCCTAGAAACCAATGGTTTTCAGGGACGTTCAGGGACCATGTTAGTTTTCAGGAGGGTATTTGTCTTAGTGGTTTCAGGTCAGATCAACTTCAGTATGGAGCCCCACAACCACTGGGTAGAGGAAACTGGTCTTCCATAGGTGAATGTTCAGGTTCCATGTTAATTTGCCCGGGGGGTAATTGGCTTTTCCAACCCAGGACCAGTGGATCAGCTGCAAAACCTTGACTGGGTGTTTTCATTGAAGTCGTTTGCCATGCGCTGAGTTCATTGATTACTTTCATGCACGAAAGATAACTGGTCTTCCATTATCTTGGAAAGTTGCTACTCTCCAGCACGGGAAGTTGGGTTTTCCTGTGCCACGTCGCGTGCCACGTCGCATCTCCTGGTCCTTCCTCTTCGTTCCAACGGTGTGACGAACTCTCAGGCCGAAGCACGGAAAGGTGCCGACAACAAACCGCCACTCAGATGGTCGCAACGCTCCGAACATCGGGGGTTGGGAAGACCCAATCAGGCTGTTGATCCACTGACTGGTGCGACTCGTAGGTTCTTAAGGGAATGACCCCCAATAGAGATTCTATTGGATCCAGCCACCCTCATTCCCTGCTTTCGACGCACCAGTCAGTCCATTGGATCCCTGAATCTCCCTCATTTTCACGGCGCCATTCGGCGACTCGCCGAAGAGGGAAGGATCTCCTCGCTTCTCCCCCGCCGTCGTGTCCGATCGGTCCCGCAAAGGAGGACGTTTTGGGACCGCCCCATTGGCAATGATATGAATTATTGTTGTTTGTTCCTACTAGATTAGTTCCATGACCGGTAGCTGCCAAGAGGATGCCCAATCCTCCAAGCGGTATGTGCACCCACAAGCCTAGACTTGTGCAGCTTGGTCAGGATAGCTGTGTTCAGTTTGTGTCATTTTGCCTGTTCTTTTGCCTGGTGGATCGTCATGTGTTGCTGTCCAATTGTACTAAGGAAGAAGAAGAGAAGGGATAGCGTTTCTTGGCAGAGGAAGCAACAGCAAAGATTGGAGAACTGCAAAGGTTGCTTCACTTCATACGCACCCATGCTTCACTCATTGGAAGAAGTGCCTTCTGCCTTTGTTTTCTTTGGCCAATCCAAGGGCCTCGTTTTGTTGGTGCTTTTTGGCTGACCAGATGGAGCGACATATGAATATTCGGGACACCGAGGGAACACATGAAGTTGCAGACCCGGCCACCGTGAGTCTTTTGGGCGCTCAGGATCAGCCGTCACCTCCGCCCCTACCAGCTCATCTGCAAATCCTAAAGGAAGAACGAGACAGGCAAGCACGCTAGTAGCCAGCTAGTAGCAAGCACGCTATGCTCGGTGGAGGCCATCGCAAGTAGGAACGCTAGGCCCCATCGCTCCGAACGTAACAAGGGACGTGGTGACGTGGTGACGAATTCGCGCGGGACCGACGGACAGAATCCACGGACCCGGGAGGGGTGACGGTGCGAAAGCCCAGGTGGAGCGAACACTGAAGAGTGACTTCAGTGTAAGGACAATATAGATGAAAGTACAGGGTTTGAGTTCATGTTTTGAGTTTGAGTTCATGTTGGTACAGAGCATCCACTTGCTACAATTGACACCCTATTGATTTTTGACCCTTATACGATCCAACGGATGTTTGGATGTTTGATCATCCAGGTCCAGCTGGTGGCTTTTGCTGACCTTTTTTAACAACAGAGAATTACTTTACTTCGAAATTCCCCACCCTCAAAGAATTGATCTTCACAAGAGAAAAGCGGTTCGGAGTTGATCTTCACAAGAGAAAAGCGGTTCGGCGCGAAAAGGATTCTTTATTGAAAACAAAACCACACATCGAATACTTACTTGTGAGGTTTCTGAACTTCGATTTTTTAATGCCTGGCAACCCCACATCCCTGCCAAGTCAACTTGTGGTGGATATGCTGTGGAACTGGTACTTGGGAGCACTCTGGTGAATGTGCTGGTGTAAAGGCTACGCGGGCTACTCGGGGCCACTCTGGTGGATGTGCTGTGTAAGGGCTACTCTGGGCCTCTGTGGGCCACTCTGGTGGATGTGCTGTGTTCTTTGGGTTGCTCTGAGCTACGCTGGGACCACTCTGGTGGATGTGCAGAAGTAGCGAGTCTACTGAAGTCCAAAGTTCTTAAAATCTAACAGCCCCACAGTCCTACGGGTGGGGAAAAAACTGCGTACAATACAAGTCTACAACTATCCTGCGATCTCTTTGGTAAATGTGCTGTGGAGAAGCTAGGTTGCGCTACTAAAAACTGTGGTTGCTGTGGACCAGCTAAGTTGAACTACTTAGAAATCAGTTTGTGAATGTGCTGTGGAAGAGCTAGGCAGCTAGGTTTAGCTACTCAGGGATCAGATTGGTGAATGTGGCGTCAATACTTAGAGGTCATTTTGGTGAATGTGCTGTGGAAGTGCTACGTTGAATTACTCAGGGATTACTTTGGTGAACAGGGATCAGTTTGGCGAGCGTGCTGTGAAAGAGCCACTTTGGGCTACTCAGAGATCACCTTGGTGAACGTGCTGTGGAAAAGCTAGCTTGAATACTCAGGGATCACTCTGGGGAACGTGCTGTGGAAGAGCTACTTTGGGCTACTCCGGGATCTCTTTGGTGAACATGCTGTGGAAGTGCTGCGTTGAACTACTCAGGGATCACTTTGGTGAGTGTGCTATGGAAGAACTGCTTTGGGCTACTCAGGGATTACTTTGGCGAGTGTGGTGTGGAAGGGCTAAGTTGGGCTAGTCAGGGATTCCTTTGGTGAACGTGCTGTGAAAAAGCTACTTTGGGCTTCTCAAGGATTACTTTGGTCAACGTGCTGT